ACAAAATAAGTGGGTTATATATCATGGAGAGATATAGTTAGCTTACAAAACAAATAGGTTGTATATCATTGATAGATATGGTTGGCTTACAAAATAGATACGTCATATATCATGGATAGATATGGAATGTTACTTTTACAAAATAAATAGCTTGTATATCATGGATAGTTGATGTTGGTTACCTTTACAAAATAAATAAGTTGTATGTCATGGATACATCTGGTTGGTTACCTTTATAAAGTATATAGGTTGTATATCATGGATAGATGTGAGTGGGCAACCTATTTATTTTGTAAACGTAATATATCATGAATAGATATGGTAGGCTGACAAAATAAATGGGTAAAATGTCATGGAAAGATGTGGTTTGTTACCATTACAAAATACATATGTTGTATATCATGGATGATGTGGTTAGCTGCTACTACAGAATAAGAAGGTTCCATATCATGAATAGATGTGGTTGGCTGCTACTACAGAGTAAGAAGGTTCCATATCATGGATAGATGTGATTGGTTACCTTTACAAAATAAAAAGGTTCTATATCATGGATAGATATGGTTGATAACCTTTACAAAATAAATAGGTTGTACATTATGGTTAGATCTGGTTGGCTACATTTATACAATATATACGTTTTAAATCATGGATATATGTGTTTGGTTACCATTACAAAATAAATAGGTCGTATATCATGGATTGGTGTGGTTGGTTAGCATTACAAAAGAAATAGGTTATATATCCTTGATAGATATGGTTGGTTACCTTTACAGCAAAGAGTATTTCAGAGCCAACTCATTCCATCTGGTACTTCATACAATATCGATATGTTTTTTGTAGGTCGAGAAGACATTACCTACTAAAGAGAGAACAGATAAATAAAGCATGTAGAACCAGATAACGTTAACGACTTTCTGAGCAACGTGTTGCCACTATGACGGTATGGAAATCAAAATTTTGAAATTTCTACATCACTAGAGAAGGTAGAAAGTTTTTATGCTCACATATCACATTAAAACAATATGTTTCAATAATTCTTGTTTACAATATTATGCACTTATTGAGTTATTTTATACGATTAAGTTATTCTATTTAAGCTAGCGTAGTATAGTCACCCTATTTGTAAACACAGCTTTCATCTTACAATAGTGTTTAAGCTAGCAGAACCGTTAAGGAAGATATAAACAACAGGCGGTCCTTTCTACAAAGTTTCATCATGAATACAAACAATGCCTAAACAATCTATCAAAGAATAACTAAACTGTTATAATTACATGGACTGGAAGTTAAATTATTTTCACCAGCTAACTTGAAGGAACACTCCAGTGACAAAACATTGATGTCAGAAGAAGGATTATTTGGGGAAAATAGAATATAATTTGACTTATCTTATATCTTATATCTTTGACTTATATGACCACGTTAGCATAAACTGAGACAGGAAACCTGCTGGACATCATAAAACACTGGAGAAAATAAAAAGAAAGAAAGAGGCATAGCATTAAAAGAAGATCAAGAAAATTAACGACAGATAACTAAAAGAACACGAAGAGAATTTAAGGAAGGAATTAAAAGAAATGTATCTATTATTTGAAGAATTAAAACCAAAATAAGTTTGATTGATGAAATTATTTAAGATGTACAGAGAGAGATTACGCCATTAAGAATGAGGTGTGTTTGTTTGTTTTTCGAATTTCGCGCAAAGCTACACGAGGGCTATCCGCGCTAGCCGTCCCTAATTTGGTAGTGTATGACTAGAGGGAAGGCAGCCAGTCATCACCACCCACCGCCAACTCTTGGGCTACTCTTTTACCAACGAATAGTCGGATTAACCGTCACATTATAATGCCCCCACGACTTAAAGGGAGAGCATGTTTGGTGTGACGGGGATTCGAACTCGCGACCCTCGGATTGCAAGTCGAGCGCCCTAACCACCTGGACAAAAGTGCAGCAAGGCTGTAATGACAAAAGTTCTGAAGTCAAAAGTGAACTAAAGATATACATCAATGAAGTAGAAAATAAATCAGTGATACAATAAAGTATTGTTCCGACAGCGGAGGTCACGTGACGCTAGTAACACGTCATGCGCTTCTCGAACGTTCACGTCCCTTCCTGAAATCTCGAGAGCCTACTAGATATGCGGTAGACTTGTATATATAAACCGGTAAGAACTGACGGCAACAATGTAATGTAATTCAACTGCGGACAGAGAGAGACATATTGTTGAGTCGAGCATGTGAGACGTACGTTGTGAATTATAGCGTTTGTCGTAGCACAATCGTGGAAATTAAGTGTATTGCAAAGTTGTATTCAGAAAGAATAAACCAGTTTTATTTGAGAAAGGATCTGTATCGTTAAAGTTTCTTCGGAAATAATTTTTACGGAAAATTAACTAACGAACGGAGACATAACAAATTGGTGTCAGAGAGTGGGACAAAAAAATGGAAACGAGAAGTGGCAAATCGAACTACGCTTAGCAGATTTGATGGCAGCAATACAAGAACAGCAAAAGAAACGAGAAGAGAAACAAGAAGAGAAATTACAGCAGTTCTTGGAGGAAAAAGAAAAGAAATAGGAAGAGAAATTACAGCAGTTGTTAGAGGAAAAGAAAAGAAACAAGAAGAGAGATTACAGCAGTTGTTGGAGGAAAAAGAAAAGAAACAAGAAGAGAAATTACAGCAGTTCTTGGAGGAAAAAGAAAAGAAACAAGAAGAACGAGAAGACAAATTACAGCAGTGGTTGGAGGAAAAGAAAAGAAACAAGAAGAGAGACAACAGCAGTGGCAAGAAAACCTGCAACAGTGGCAGCTCGAACGGCAAAATAAACAAGAGAGACTACAGCAGTGGTTGGAGAAGAAAGAAAATAAACAAGAAGAGAGATTACAGCAGTGGCAGCTGGAACATGAAAGGAAACAGGAAGAAAGTCTCCAACAGTTGCGGGAAAGTCAGCAGCAACTACAGGAAAGTCAACAACAGTGGCAAGAAGTACAAATGGAAAACATTAGTAAATTTAAAAGCGAATTAGATACATGAAAGGATGATTTATTGTCTTTTACACATGGAGGATACATTAACCATCGACTTAATCAGCCCCAGACAATGGCAAGCCCCTTCCAGACCCCGCAGCTAAACCCTAATGCAGACATCTTCAGTCCTGTTAGAAGTCACAGCCTAGATATGAATGTCAGCAATAGGGGTGATCCAGTACGAAGGAAGCCACAGGAATTCGATAGGAAGACACCGTTGGAAGCATATAGACCACAATTTGAGCTCCTGGCAGAAATGAATGGGTGGATAGATGAGCAGAAAGCAGTATATCTGGCAAGGAGCTTGA